TTTTCTGTTTTACAAATCTGGGACCATTTCCTTTTCCACTTGGGAGATGATTTGATTCAGGCTCTAAAAGAAGGACTTGAATGGAAATGACTGGCTGGTGTGAAATTTGTTTAGTCCCACTTCACTTTGAGAGCCAGTGACTTCAGCACAATGAGGAAATGTAATGTATTCTAACACTGTATCACTGTATTGTCTCTTGCCAATCCCTTTTCTGCAGGCAGGTCAGAGGTCAGCTATGGAACAGCAGCCCTGGAGCTAGCTGTGTCTCGCTCAAGGACACTTCAGTGTGGTTCCGCAGTCTGAACCCTGATCCTTTAGTGGGTGGTCTCTCTAAATACGAGGCCTTTATCCCATACTAATAAATGCAGTGACATCTACATTGTAATTTGTTGTAAACACACTGTGCAGGACAGAGCTGCTTGTGGAGAATATTTACAGTAGAGCAGGTTTCTCCTTATCAGAGTGGAAAATGCCGCAGGGCTGACGTTCAGGTCAGTGCGTGTCCTCTGCTTCTCCAAGTTATAATAAGGTGACATTCGAATGGCTGGATCATCACTCATCACTGGATGTACAGTATGAGCATCGTGTACTTACATTCAGTATTGTAATTATGGGATGAAACTGCAGAGCATACACAAATAAAATAACATTTGAAGAACTACAATTTGGAGTTGATACTGTATATACTGAATGACTTTCTTTCAGGAAGGTCCTGTAGTTTTTATGTTGTTTCTGGTTAATTGTGGAGCTCTACTTTAAAGGCGTCCCCAGGGAAAACTGATTTTGGTTGGTGTCAAACGATTAAGAAAATGTATCATTCTTTGAGCTTTCATTGTGTTAAATAAAAGCAAACATTTAGTGGTGCCAGTTTCTCAAATGTGAGCACATGCTGCTTTTCTCTTTTAATCCACATTGTAAAGCGAACACATTTGAGGTTTTTTAATTGTTTAATTTGACTAGACACCAAACATTTTACACACTCTAAAATGTTTTTAATCATTTAAATTTACATTTAAATTGTATGAACAAACAATAACGTCTGCATCAGAGCCTTCTTCACACTTGGGCTAAAATTAGTCACATTTTAATACATCTAATACACATTAAATAGTGCTCCACAAACGTCCCTAAAAGATACAGAGGACATTACCTCCATTTTGGCTACGACCCTCACTACAGTCCTGTCCTATGTGTACTAACTGTATCAAACTTAAATGTCAGATATGGCTGTCAGATTTGATAGACTTTGATTAGAGAGTATACAACTTTTTTTCCTAAACAAATTAATAAATATGTATTTGGTAACCAGAATTTGAATGTCTGTGAGCATATTCAACAGATTAGACAGCAGAATCATTGGAATAAACTGTTCCCTTTTGCTGTTTACATATAGTGCATCACGTTAAATTGAGTAGGAGGCTTATAGTGGAAGCACTTAAGTGTCCCTGCACCACCTCACCCTGCTGCCAGTCCATGCAGCCAGAGAAACATGATCAAATCACTGTGTTATTGGGAAATGTGCTCTCTGGACAGTAGTAGGGATTTATCCGCTGACTCAGCCTCTTACACAGATTAGTTAGGAGCACTGTGTCACTTCAATGCAGGTTTGAGGACAAGTGTGAGAGAGCAGAAGGATCATGCCATGTTGGGATTACATCCTGCTGCATCACATATTGCTCAACTATAAAATGTCCACATTCGGACATATCTCAAAAACAAAATGTCTACTGTGCCACCTCCTCTGCCTGTTTTTAATGATAGATTTTTATTTTTTTATTTTATTTTATTATATTTGGCCCAAGAAACTGACCAGTACTGGTCATGGACTGCACCTCACATTTTTGCTTCAGCTAATTTGTGGTAATTTGATTACCAGTAAATATACATGTATTTAAAAATATGCACCATGTGAGCATAATATCACCTGAAATAATGAATATATCGAAATTTGAAACAGGGTCCCACTGCATATTACCAAGCAATTTGCAATCAATCGAATTATATCAAACTACTGGGGCCCCTTAGTGTTCTTTGTCCTGTTGATAATCCAGCCTTGCTGCATGAGGTATTGATCGATAGTTTATGGCTAAATATCATGGGAGTTGTGGTTGTACATAGCTGAAATAATCAATTTATTGTGTTATTTAGTAATTCAGTGGAGTCCTATTTAAGTATTTTTAGACATCATTTTTGTAATTTTAGTTGAATTCTATTTAATCCAGATTGCTTTAGTCTCACATTGCCACATTTAACTTTATAGATTAACAACAATGTCTTCTTTCCACTTCCACTCAGGTGATGGTAACCACACTGACCCACAATATTAATGCTCTTTAGAGGGGCCATATCCTGACGGTCCCCACCATCAACAACACTGTGTGATTGTCATGGTGAAGTGATGTTTAACTTCGTGCAGGACATGGGAGACTATACTGCTTTGTCCCTGTTCTTACCTTTATCAACCGGATAGCAGCCTCACTGTGGTCTGATCTGCTGCAATCAGAGCTGAATGTATTGGAATATCATCATTATATACATGCAGCTACTTCACAATAAAAACTTCCTACTGGAAAACCAGAAGACTATTGTTATCCGGCCACAGGAGGTGTTCATGTAGTCAACACTTGCTTGTTTTGCTCTTAGCAAGTAAGTTATAAATATTCCAAGGGACAAATAACAAAAGAAGATGTTGCCGCAAGCGAGCTTGGTCAGAGCCAATAGGCTTTTTCACAGCAGACATTTTGACAGTTTATAGCAAGAACGACCCAGGTGTAATTAATTAACATTTATAACAACTGCCCCTAAATGAACAGAGCAATCCCTCATGTCGTTAGTTATACCTGTGTTTTCCTGCCTAAACAAGTCAAACTGTCTGCAGTGAAGATGGTCTGACACTGAAAAGTAAGTCTGATGGCGGATTACTGTGTATAACAATGAAAGCACAGAGGAATAAGCAATACTGTATCAGCCTTTGGCCACACAGGCAATACTTGTTAGAAGGACAGTCGTGAGTTTTGATATTTTCAAGGAAACAAAACATAGAATGTCACCATCATTATTGTTTAATATCAAATGTATGTTTTCATCATTTTATCGCCCTACAAAATATCCACTGCAGTTAAAACAACCAATAAGATTCTTTGCTTTTGAAAACGTTTGTAATCGAGGCCAATCCTGCGTGCATTGGTATGTTCTATGTTCTTAACACTCATTCAGTCATTCTGTCCCCTAAAGTATTTTATAGCCCAGTCCTTGTTGTCACTGTTGCACATATTACACCATTAATTAGATGCAGACTGTGTTTGGTGAAGTGAAGGGTAAGTGACACTTCAACTGGAAAGAAAAGCTGTGAAACGGTCGCCACACCAAAGGTGGCGAGGCATAACTTATCTAAGCAACTTTTGTGAAATGGATAAACGAGGCGCTAAAAAGAGAACTGGAGTAATTCTGTTCAGAGGGGAGAGCAAGGAAAGGAAGCAGTTTGCAACTTTCAACCACCAAAGGCATAAAAGCAATGTGTGTGTGTGTGTG